TTTTTAAATAATCTTGCTGAGCCTTCATGTGTCACATGACTGTGTTCAATCAATGAGTCAAAATAAGAAAACTCTGTGTACATACTGTGTATGTGTGTGTGTATTGTATAAGCAGAAGTTATTATGGTAATCTGAAAAGCAGAAGAAAAGATAATTCCATCTCATATTCTACTGCCTTCTATTGTCCAGTGCATTGCCTAGACTGAAATCTTACCTGTTGGCAGAATCTGAAGATCAACTTACTTTTTGTCCTTGTTTTTTTTTTTTTTTTGGTTTTTTTTGAGGAGGGAGGGCAGGGGATTGGCTGGAATTTGGCTGACTTCCAATCCAAACTCAATAACTTACCTTGACAATTGACAAATTTCAATCTATCATACCTTAAGGTATCTTAAGGCTAAACTATAAGGAAGCCTTCATTATCTCATTGGAAGAATGTTGAGCTCTAAATCAAATAAACACAAAAGTAAAAGAAAGTATGTTATTAAAATAAATACATGGTCCTAGAAGGTCTAATTTTAATGGAATAAGATCAGAAAACTCTACATCAGCATATCATTGGGCTGATATTACAGGTAATCATCAACTTATGACTGTTTGCTTGGCAACCATTCAAACTTATGACAGACTATAAGGGTTACAACCCGGATTCAAATTTCTGACCATCATTACTTCTAATTTTTGACAAAACCGCATCCACAGTGAATAATGGTTCACTTAACAATTGTGACATTTGTTTACTGATTACTGCAAAAAAAATTGTAAAATTTTTTGTCAGTCACATGATGAATCCTTTTTTACAACCATCATGATTTACTTTATTATTGTTGTAAGTCAAGGACTACTTATGGTTGACAACACTATTTTTCAGACCTGTCTCTGCTTTTAGATATGCAACATTTACCTCCATGAAGATCTGGTCTTAAATTCCCCTTTTTGGACAAATTCAAGCATTAGAATTATCACTTTTAGCAGAGAAAATACTGCTGTTATTAGGGACAATTTATTGCAACGTGGCTTGCTTTTTTCTTTTCAAATCATAGTATCAGATGCTATTTGTCTTTCAGCAAATAAACGTTCACTACCACAGATCTCTCATTACATTTGCCAAGTTGATAAGGAGCAACGGAACTTTGAAATGTTTTCCTACCTTGAAACTCTGCTAAAGGTTAAGTGGGAGTGATCATAGAGGGAAGGACAGCATTGGATGCTGAGATGATTTGATTTATATTAAATCTCACTATATTTTGAATTTACATGCTTTGGAACTGAGAACAAGAAGTACTAAAAACCACATTTTTTCTGAGGAATGGTCGCCCTTTAAACAAGATTAGGGTTCTTGCCAAATTCAGTTAACGCATTTGGAAATGTGACCAAATTGATTGATTAAAATTGATCAAAAACAATTTTCAAAGATGGAACAATCACAAGATATCCCATGTTTGACTTTTTGGCACTTTTTTTTAAAATGATGAGGATTTATATTAATCCAAAATAACTTTACACATGTATGCGGTGGAGAGATATTTGGAGGGAATATTTGAAAGACTCACAATGATGTCTGTGATAGCACAATTAAAACTCAACCTGTTTTTAACGTGGGAGTTGTGTGCATTGTAGGTAAAAAGGGAGTGGAGGTAGAATTATGAAAGTGTGATCATTATTCTGCTTCTGAACCCTCCACAAAAGACTTCCACGTTTCCTGCACACATTTTACTGGTTACAATTGGAAGTATAAGTTTTCCTTGACTTATGACAATTAACATCAACGTTTCCATTGCTAAGCAAGGCAGTTAACACTTTGTCCCATATTACAACCTTTCTTGCCAGAATTGTTAATTGAATAACTGCTGTGGTTAAGTGAATCATGTGGTCATTAAGAGAATTTGGCTTTCTCCATTACTTTGCTTGTTGGAAGTTGGCTAGGAAGGTTGCAAATGGTGATCCTGTGATCTTGGGACAAGACAACTGTCATAAATACATGTCAGTTGCCAAACACTCAAATTTTGATAATGTGACCATGGAGATGCTGCAACAGTCGTAAGTAAGAAAACCAGTTAAAAATCCTTTTTTTCCAGTGCCGTTTGTAATTTTGAATGGTTGCTAATCAAATGGTTGTAAGTCAAGGATTACCTGTATTTTGACACCAAAGAAGTCATTTGCCCTAGGAATACATCTTAGTGCAACTTTATTTTTAAAGAAACATCCACTACTACCAACAATACGGTGAAAATAAACCAGCTTAAACACAAAACATAGAGCAAGTGGTTGTGAGTTATAGCCCAAAGTTTGAGGGATTATTTTTCTTGTTCTGAATTGAAACTATTGGTATAAGCTGGATTTTAGAGTGACATTTCATAAAGGTGTGTGGGGTGTCCAGTTGAGAAACCCACCCCTAGGTAAGCTCACTGCTTTGAGTTAATAGATAAAAAGGTGGGATGAAAAAAATTGAATAATATTGCATATTGACAACATTTCCATCCATTAATTACAAAAGGCCACACTCGTTGCATTTACACATACTATGTCAATGACCTCATCAGGATAATGATATCCTGGACTGTTGTCCATTGTCTCAATCATCTTCCATGAGTTGGGCACTCATATAAATTTGATTAACAAATACATCCTACGTCCTTGAGATCTAAATGCCTATGAAAGCCAATGTCGGCTAAAGAAGAACTGCCAGTTGCGATTTCACATTGTTGAATATATAATGTGAATATATAATTTTAAGGCCTTTTTTTTTAGCTCACTGGGCATCTGAAGGCAATCGCCACAGGTTTGAATGAATGAATGAGCTGGGACCTTGGAGGTCTTCTAGTCCATCTCCCTGCTCAAGTAGGAGAACCAGAGGTGGGATTCAGCTGGTATGGACTGATTCGGGTGAACTGGTAGTTCCAGCTTTCATTTGGCCCCACCCACCCACCCCTGCACTATTCTGTCCTATATTTCCTTTGTTTGAAGCCCAGCTGATTGGTGTGGCAGCCCTGAATGCAGCGCCTCAGCTCTTTTTACTCACTGAGGCTGCAGTAAAAGGTAAGTTTTCTTGCTATTTTCAAATATACCACGCACAGTGCATTTTTGGCAAAGCACACACTCACTGAACCAGTTGTTGCACCGGTTGAATCACACCATTGAGAACTATAGTATTTCAGACTATCTAGTCTCTTCTTAAAAATATCCAGTGATGGAGCACCCGTGATTTCTGGAGGCAAGCTGTTCCACTGGTAGGAAATTTCTTCTTAATTCCAGGTTGCTTCCTTCTTTGATTAGTTTCCAACCATTGTTTCTTGTCCTGCCCTCTGGGGCTTTGGAGACTAATTTGACCCACTCTTCATTGTGGCAGCCCCTCAAATACTGGAATTCTGCTTTCATGTCACCCCCAATTCTTCTTTTCTTTAGACTAGCCAAGCCCCAATTCTGCAGCCGTTCTTCATATGCTTTAATCTTCAGGCCTTTGATCATCTTAGTTGCTCTTCTCTGAACTTTTTTCAAAGTCTCAACATCTTTTTTTGTAGTATGGTGACCAAAATTGGTTGCAGTATTCCAGGTGTGGTCTTACTAGGGTTTTATAAAGCAGTAGTAATACTTCAAGTGATATTGATTCTATGTCTCTGTTTATACAACCCAGAATTGTATTAGCATTTTTGACTGCTGCTGCACACTGCTGGCTCATATTCAAGTGATCATCCACTAGGACTCCAAGATCCCTCTTACAATTACTGTTTTTGAGTCAAGTCTTGTCCAATCTGTACTTATATCTTTGATTTCTCCTGCCTAAAGGTAAAACTTTGCTTTCCTCCACATTGACATTCATTTTGTTGGATAGGGCCAATTGTTCAAGTCTGTCAAGATCTTTTTGCATCTTGAGTTTGTCTTCTGGGGTGTTGGCTATTCCTGCCAGTTTAGTGTCATCTAGAAATTTGTTAAGTTCCCCCGTCTATCCCGTCATCTAAGTCATTTATAAAGATATTGAAGAGTACTGAGCCTAAGATGGAGTCTTGTGGCACCCCACTGCTTACTTCCCTCCATGCAGACATAGATCCATTAAGGACTACTCATCGAGTATGGTTTGTCAGCCAGCTACAGATCCACCTGGTGGTGATGTTGTCTACTCCACATTTTTCTAGCTTACAAAGAAATAGCTAGTGGTCTACTTTGTCAAATGCCTTATTGCATAAGTGCATAAGCGCACCAACGTGCCTACCGTCCCTGTCCTATTGTTTCTCTTATTCTTCTTTTATTTTTCTTATATGTACCCATTTCATGTATTCACAACTATGTATACACTTATACCTATTATCTTGTAAACAATTGGCAAATCAAATAAATAAAAAATAAAGTATGCTACCTTCACACAGTATTTTGCTGGTCTACTAGGTTGCAATCCATAACTGGAAGCATTTCCCGCCCCACCCCCGGTTTTCTTTTCCACACACAAAAAAGAAAAAAGGTCCATAATTATTCAACCACGCAGCATAGAGTTCTCACGACTAGGTGGAGTCCGTTTGAACCAGTGGTGTTTTTTGCTTTTTCCAAACTTGGCCCCTTGAAGATGGGTAAACTTCAACTCCCAGATTTCCTCAGGCCTCCCTACAAGCCACGCCCCTTGGATCGCCGGTTGCTTTTGGCTCGCACTCCCCCACCCGGCCCCCCCTCTCCGCCGTATCAGCGAGCCGTCGTCCGCGGTGCCGTTGAGAGGAAGGTCAGGATGCTTCTTCTCCAGGCGCGCCGCCGCCGCCACCCTCCGCACCGTCACGGCCACGGGTGAGTCCCAGGAAGAGACGCAGAAAGAGGAACCGCGGTGTTCTCTCAGGAGGAGGCGGTTGCCCGGGGCGGGAGGGGGGGGGGAACCAGGCGGCGGAACCCAGCTCGGGCCTGAGCGGCGGGGCGGGGAGAGGGAGAGAGAGAGAGAGAGAGAGAGAGAGAGAGAGAGAAGATAATTCCCGCAGCGCCCCTTACTGGCGGGAGGGCGAAACAACCCCCGCGGGTCACTTGGCCCAGCAGCAAGGCCGGGCTGGGTTTGGAGGAGCTGCTGGGATCGGCGGCGAAGGGGAGGCGGCCTCTCCGCCCGCCCCGACGGCTTCCTCTCTTCCTTGCCACGCCGCCTCTGTTCCTCCTCCTCCTCCTCCGGAGGGAAGGAGGGAGGGAAGGTGCCGAACCCCCCGTCCTCGCCCCAGGTGAGCAGCTGATCTGCCTGGCGTGGCAGAGGGTCTCGGAGGCGGGGGTGGCTGCTGGGCTCACGGATCGGCAGACCGTCCGGGTCTGGTAAGCCCAAAGAGAGGAGAAACGGGTGGGCCGAGTCGTTGAGGGGTGGGTGGGAGGCTGGGAAACTTAGCAAAGGAGAACTGCACTCTAAAAGCCTGGTTTGTTTTGTTTGTGTGTGTGTTGTGTTGTGTGTTGTGGATGCATGCATGTTTGTGTTTGTCTCTTACACTCAAGAGTGTACTTTGAGTCCCAGTTTGGACTGAATACCTGTGTCCTTTTCATCATCTTGGTGCATACAGTCCGTGTTGATCGACTGTGTGCCATCAAATCTGTGTTGTCTTTCAGCAATTACATAGATTTTTTTTTCCCTCACCAGAGAAATTTATTATCCTTAATCTGCTGGTGTTTCAGATCTTCTAATAAATGGTGCATCCATTGCTGCTGTCACTGAGTCTGTTCACATTCCTGATGGCCACTCTTTTCTGGCATCCAAGCCTTTCCCTGCCAGTCTTCCCATAATGTGACTGAAAGAGGGAGGCAAATTAGAGGCGGTAAAGGTCCTGCTAGTATTTGTGCGAGCTTTGATGTTGTACACAGAGTTGCATTTCTGTCTAGACTGGAAAGAAGATGTCTTAGCCCTCTTTAGATGAAAATACCTGGAGTGATTCACCTTGTAAATGATTAGTTGACTAAACTTGTTTTGGAGGCAGGACCTGTGAGAGGATCTAAGCGTCTTAATGGATCATCGGGTGAACATTACAAAAGAGTGATGCAGTGTGACTCAGAAAGCCAGTGCAGTATTACAGGGCATTGGCAGAAGAATTGCATCCAGATCAGCGGAGGTAATTGTTTCATTATGCTCTGCTCAGGGCACATTGTTTGGGCATTGCACTTTGAAAGGAGCTGCTTCAGAGCTCCCAGAGTGTTAAGGAGGCTGGAGGCCAGATTGTGTGAGGGTCAAGGAGCTGAGTATGTTTCTGTTGCAGAAGAAAAGGCTCAGGGGAGAGATGTCTACAGAGATCTAAAAGGCTGGTGCAAGCAGAGTGCTTAAGTGAATGTGTTCTCTATTGACACCGAAGAAAGGAGCAGAACTAGCTAAAATTAAAAGAAAGATTGGCTGCTGGATATTGGGAAGAAGTTGCTGTCAGTAAGAGCAGAACAGTCCTCTTTAAGCAGTGCTGTTCTTTTTGCTGAAGATTTTTAAATGAGGATGAATGGGCCACCTGTTGTGGATGATTTAGTGGGCTATGGAACATAGTGGTTGTATTATAAAATGAATAACAATCAATCAGGGACTGAATTGCTTTGTAATTATATTGAACATATATTGAAGCTATTATCTGATTTTAGATAGAGATACCTTTTCTTCCCATTTGATTCATAGTGGATTGATATTTAGAAATCATTTTCCTAAAAAAAAAAAAAGTTTGTCAAATTGGTAGAAATTGCATGAATATAATAGCAAGTTCAAAACACTGGGATTAAGTAACTTCTAGAATGGAAAATACAGTCTTGGTGTTTGTCAGAACCAGCTTTAAATTGGCAGTTAAAAAACATTCTTATTCTCAGAAAATGAGCTGAGATGTTTCCATAATGAAATGGTTGGTTTGCAAATATTTCACAGAATTTTTTTCCTTGAGTGAATGATATTGGTCTAGTTCCAGGAAAATAAGAATCAAGTTAATAGCATATTAGAAAAGAGAAAGCTGGTAGATTTACATGTCTTCATGGGAATGATATAAACTTGATACCCATGTTCTTAGATACATATACTAAAGAATGTGTGGGTATTATCAATAAAGCACTGTTGGTGATTTTATCATACAATAATTTTTTTGCAGTCTCCCATGAAGTAAGTACACAAGAATTAATGCTTCAAGGAATAGCAAATCAGCACAAATTACGGTATTTCTGTTGTGGAGATTACAGGACAAAGTAATATGGAATGGTTAGTTCCACAAAGGAAGTGTGTGTTAAATAATACAAGTCATAACCTATATACACTAAAGCAGAGGTCTCCAACCTTGGCAACTTTAAGACTTGTGGATTTCAACTTGAAGTCCACTTAATACTTGCCAAGGTTGGAGACCCCTGCACTAAAACACTCCTGTTAACTCTGTAATCTTCAATTGGGTGAGAAACAGTGCATTTACAGGGCAACAATTTTTGAATCAATATGTCTGAAATGGACTACTTTACAGAATTCATCTGAAATTTGGGATCCATTATTATTATTACCATCGTTATCCATTATTCCTGTGGGATTAAAATTTGGTGAAGTTGTGGCCACAAGTGCTGCTGCTTCTAACACTCCCTACTAGCTTCCCACAAGCAAAGTCAGTGGAGAAGCTGGAAGTTATTCCTGCTCTTCCCCACCCATGGTTATTCTGTTGCTTTTTTGTTTAGGTAAGGAAATTCCTCTGAAACAGTGACCCAGCAGGGACTAGTTAATAAATACATGTATGAATATGGTTTGAGTAGAGTAAGAACAGCTTAGCTATTTATTTGAGATTTTGATTATAAAGACTTACTGAGAAATGTTGGCAGCTAATGTAGCAGGCTAAGGTGCTAAAGGGTCAGCTGCTTAAAAGCACTGCTGATTTCTGGTGATTGTATGGGCAGGTATCCGATATTGGGACCCAACATAAATACAAAATCTAACTCTTCTAATGGCATACTAGCGATCTCCCTGTTTCCATCCATTCCCCCACCTTATGTGTTGTCTTCCCCTGGTGCTGTTTCCTTCTAATTTGCCAAGCAAAATTGGCAAACTATATCACATGCTCAAACTATGTGAGTTTCTTTGTGCTGGTTGTCACCTCAAAGATTAGAGGACAGCAGGGCTTAATTAAATATCCCACAGGATTTTTTTCCCTACGGGCAGAAAGCTTTGCTGCCTCCTCTGGCTTCTGTGCTTTAGTAATTCCCACATTCTGTCTGAACATTTCTCCTATGTGAAGTTGACCCTGAATGGCAAAGCAGTGGACTGCATTGGATCACCTTGGTTTCCTTTTGTGGCATGGGATTAGAATGACATAGAATAACCACGTTGGAAGGGACCTTAGAGGTCCAACCCTCTACTTGAGCAGATCCTATACCCGTGATGGTGAACCTATGGCACAGGTGGCGTGCAGAGCAGTTTGTGTGGGCATGCGAGCCCCAGGCAAACTTACTTCACTGCACATGCACGTGCCTCCTAGCTGATTTTTGGCCAGTTTGAAGAATTTTCCGGCCTCCCAGAGGCTCGAGGGAAGCCTCTGCAGCCTTTGGAGGCAGAAAACCAGGCCTGTTTCATCACTTCCTGTATCTCCGGAAATACCGGAAGTGATGAAATGGGCCCATTTTTCAACCTACAAAGGTTGCAGAGGCTTCCCTTGAGCCTCTCAAAGGCCTCAAATGGGCCGAAAATCAGCTGGGAGACGCAGTGCAGGTAAGGGGGCGGTCGGAGGATGGGGAATCACGTGCGTATGTGCAGGAGGCGTGGGGGACTGCACACATTGCCTTCTGGGTACTGGCATGCGAGCATACATGCGCAAGGGCGAGCGCAATTTTTGGCATAGGAGCCCAAAAAGGTTAGCCACCACTGCCCTTTACCATTTCAGACAGGTGGCTGTCCAGTCTCTTCTAGAAAGCTTCCAGTGATGGAGCACCCACAACCTCTGAAGGCAACTTCTTTTCCACTGGTTGATTGTTCTAACCTTTTAAGAAATATTGGATTAGTTCTAGGTTGCTTCTCTCCTTGATTAGTTTCCATCCATTGTTTCTCGTCTTGCCTTCTGATGTTTTGGAAAATAGTTTGACCCCTTCATCTTTGTGGCAGTCCCTGAACATGGCACTGAGGCAACAAGCTGACTGGTTTGTTCCTCTAGTGGAGGCTGGAGCTGATGGGAAAGCCACTGTATGGAGCTGCGCCCAGATCTACCTGCCTACCTACCTACCTACCCACCTACCTAGACAGAATAAAAAAAAAAATGAAAAGTATGGTTTGTGATTCCTAAATAGATTTCAGAAACAGAACAATGGGGCATCTTGCAAGATTAAGATGTGTGAGAGAAGAAACTTAGCATTTTGAAGATACGTGACTTCTTTGGGAATTTGGATTTGCTCATGCTCAGAGTTATTTAATACGTCAAATTGTCCAGGTACTTCCTCTGTAACTAAGTATTTTGCCAAATATGCAGATAATCAAGATAATCTTCTGCATGAAGGAATAATATAAGCCTTTTAATGGATCAGATTGTAGGTGTCCTTATAATTTTGAGAAATTTCAGGATTTGTTAGTTGATTATTACTCTGCTGTAAATGACGTTTCTAGCTCTTTCCAAACAGTATTAAAGTTTATGCCTTCTCCCACAGAGGTTGTTTAAGGTTTAGAACAGTGGGGCACCACAAATATAGTTTTGCACATTTTAAAATTGATTTGGAAGAAATGTTCCAGAACATAAACAGGTAGTGACTTAAGTACTGCCCTGTTTATCAATGGGAATTCTGATCTCAGTTGTGGTTATAAGTTGAAGATTGCCTGTATAAGAATTGCTGGCCAACTGCGGACAAGGAAGACTACCCGTATACAGTTAGGATTGGCTACTCTGCTGCTAAATGACACAGACATAAAGTGAATTGTCTTGTGTCAGCATCAGATTACTACATTAGTTCCAGCTGCACTTGTTAAGTGAAAGCATCCATAAGATTTCCCCATTAACTTCGATTTAGGAGTTGCATTAATTTTTGACTCCTTAAAGAGCCACATTTTTAAAGACTAACATGGAAAGCTGAATAAAAGATGGATGCTTCAATGAATAGGAGTGAAGAGTTAGTTATACCAGTTGAGAAGCACTTTTCCCAAATAATTTTCAGAATGTTCCAGGTCTTGCAGAGAAATTCTTTGTTAAGTTCTCTCTTCCCTGTCCTATGCTGCAAGATCATTGAGTTCATCTTACACGAACCACAGATATTTAAGATTAGGAAAATACATATTCATCTTTGAAATATTCGAGGATTTTATATCGGCAAAGGTATTATTCAAGAACTGGATCCTATGACTGATTCAAAGAGGTTGTTTCTGTGCATTTAAATATTCCCCCTATGAGTTTGTTGTGCTTACTTAAATGGGACTAGTTGTACAAACTTTTAATCTAGAATGAATACTGATTGTGTGCTTTGTGTTGAAAGTATAGTGGATTTCAGAAGAATAACTCACATGTATATAGTTGCTAATGTTAGTGATAAAGATCTGTAAACCTATAATAAAGAGCACATTGAATATAATTTATGTCAAGAGTTTAGAAAAACTTGCAATTTTAATCACTCTATAAATTATATAGATTTCATCCAAGTTTAATCTGATTTTTGGGACCTTTCCCCCCATCTACCATATTCTCCTATTGTGTTTTGAGGCTAATTCCTATATTAGAATCTCATAATACATACTATCTGTGTCTCAGGTTTTCATTCAGGAAAAGATAATTGAATTGAGATAGAACTAACACTGCTGGTTTTAAGCTTTTGCTAAAATATATATTTTCTGTTAAAAATTGTTACTTGACCTAAGTAACAAATACTTCAAGCAGTAAATATTTAAACTTTCTAGTTATATTGGTTTTTAATATATTACAAATTAAACTTCAAGTAATCAATTAATTAAAAATACAGCAAGTTATAGTCCAGCTCAGTCTTGCAGTTGAAAAATGGAAAAAAATTAAATGAGAGCATTTGATAAAACATGAGAATTCCTAATCTTTTAATTTATATCCTACAGTTTGCAAGGAAACATAATGAGTATATGAGACCAAATGGAAACATTTACATAAGTGATAAGTTGAAAATGTAATCTTTATAGAATTCTATGTAACTCTAAATCATATTAAATGCCTTCCTTAATGCCATATTAGTGTAGTAGATATTAAAGATATATAATTTAGAATATTTGCTGCTATTTTTTGTTGCGTTTATGTAAAATGAAATGTAGTCTCTAAAGTAATTATCATGTAAAATTAATCTGGAATAGTCTCTTTTCAGAAAGGCCAACTGTTAATATGCCACAGGAAAGAATCTCTGTACTTAATTTTTTCCCTTTTGAATTTCTTTTAGGGGATTGAAAATGTGCCAACAACAATGCTAGGATTACAATGGGAAGTGTCACACTTCGCTATTTTTGCTATGGCTGTCTCTTTACGTCGGTAACCTGGACAGTCCTGCTGTTCATTTATTTTAATTTCAGCGAAGAGGCCCAGTCTTTTAAAAATGTGCCCATCAAGGGGCTTGAACCTCAGAAGCCCTTCTCCAAAAGATTCTATCCCCAGCTTGTGAATGGGCCAGGACGAATGCAGGAACCTAAGCCCAGATATGGCAAGATAAGGAATCCTTTGGGAAATGCTGCTCAGGATCTCCTCAAGAGCGATGCAGAGTTTTCCCCTGAAATGGGTATGTTGGAGGGATAGAGCGCTAAGGTAGTTATTTTCATACCGGGGAAGGCCGGGCCAGTGATCTTTGAATCAGATCTGAAAGCCCGATAAAACAGGTTGGAGGCGGAGACCTTTGGAGAGACGTTGTCTGCCTAAACCAATATCTGATCCGTGTGGATTCATATATTGCAGGAGGAAAAATTTGGTTTAAAGCTAATTTGGTGAATTAGCAGCCATTTTAACACACCAGTTTGCCCTAGTAGTTAAGGCACCAGGCTAGAAACCAAGAGAAGGCAAATTCAAGTTCTGCCACAGCCATGAAAGCCAGCTGGGTGACCTCTTTTTCAGTCCAACTCACTTCACAGGGTTGTTGTTGTGGGGACAATAGGAGGAGGAAGGGATGTTGGATATGTTTGCAGTCATGAGTCACTTGTAAAAATAATGAAGGCAAGAAATCAATCGATCAATCAATCAGTCCCATGATATATAAGCCACTGTAGAGGGCTCACACTTTGCATTAAGCCAGACAAAATAAAGACAGACCCATTATGGCTTTTTATGCAAAGAGTGAAAAACAGAGCTGCAATGTCATTATGTTGTTACAGATATTATAGTGTTCTGTTGCTCATGCTGGGGATTTATGATGTCTCTGTGTATTTACATATTTACTTGCCAATTTTCTTGAGTTTCAAGACAAATTAACAAAACAATTGTCGGAAAGTAACGTGTTTTGGGAAGCATCCTTAGTGGAATTTTTGAGATTAAGGGGATATTTTAGAAAATGATTTATTAGTGTGTAAACAGAATCAGTGGGTTCTCTGTTTCAGGTATGATTTTCAATGAACAGGATCAGGAAGTAAGAGATTTGGGCTATCAGAAGCATGCTTTCAATGTGCTCATCAGTAACCGATTGGGATATCACAGAGATGTGCCAGATACGAGGGACAGAAAGTAAGCTATCACATGCTCATCAGAAAATAAACATTTTGTTCCAAGAGTCAAATGACTTTATGGCGGATAGGAAAAGTGAAATGACATGATAATATAGGCCTTTTTTCTTCTCCAGGTGTAAAGAAAAAATATATCCTCACGATCTTCCTTCTGCTAGTGTTATAATTTGCTTCTATAATGAAGCTTTCTCTGCCTTGCTCCGGACAGTTCATAGCGTTCTGGATCGAACACCATCACGTCTTCTCCATGAGATTATTTTGGTTGATGATAGAAGTGAATTAGGTAAGAGATTCTTAGATTTTTGTGTCTCTCTGGGATAGGAGTTGGCACTCTATAACTATCACCTGACTGTGGTCCCAAAAAGAAATATTTTTTCCCAACTCACAAAACAGAGGGCTATCCAGCTCCTTAGATAAGTCATTTTGATGATGGCTTCACCATCCTTGGTGTGGCATGACCTCTGGCCTCTAGGCACAAGAAGACTGCCAGTTCAGTTCTAGGAAGAATTGGATTAAAATATGACTGTAGGTTTTATTGCCTCAGTCTCAGCTCCCTGGAATAAATAAGGACAATAGCATGAGTGTACAAGTACTTCAGATTTTGAGCAGTTGTTTGGCATTTGAGACAGGTTGTTCCAGCATTGTTGGAAATATTTTGACAGGGTTCCAGCCATTATGGAAGTAAGTTGAGCCCAGTAGATCTCTTTGAAACAGGTGTATTGAACACACAAGAGAGAGACATTTTAAGTTCAAAACATTTGTGGGATGTTCAGGGCAGCTGCTCCATTACTGAACAAAGCATTTCAAACTTGACACAGCTTTTCAAGTGCAAAATGTCTCAAATGTTTTGCACGCCACCCCTCTACTGGGGAATTATTCTGGAGAGAAGGCCTTAAGGATACGCAGCATGGGCAACGCAAGTTACTTCCAGAAATGGAATTCTGTCCATTAAATGATAGTCTGATTGATTCTCTGTTCTCTTGCATTTCTAATTATGCCATGGATACTGACATACCTTTTTAAATTCCAATCTTTATTAGAGAAGGACGTGTCACTAGGATTAGTCAGTTATCTCATTTCCTTCCACAAGGAAGAACACTTAACAATTGTCACAGCTGTTGGGTTTTATTTCAGGTTTGTTTTGCCAGCCTTTTAAAATAGAAGAAATGTGAGAAGTAGCTGGAAAGGTTTAGGATGACTATAAAGCAATATTTTTGTTCATCTTTCCTTCTCCTATTGTAGCTGATTTAAAAGAAGACTTGGACATATATTTAACGAAAAATCTTCCAAATAAAGTGAAACTAGTAAGAAATGAAAAGCGTGAAGGGCTAATTCGAGGGAGAATGGTTGGAGCTTCCCATGCTACAGGTAACATCCAGCACTAATGCAGGCAATACCCTAACCTTGTGCCTTTAAGTAGCAATGTTATATCCTTGTGGTGTACTCTTCCTAAATAGAATTATTGGGAATAGTGAGGTTTATCAATGCAGTAAATTCACTAATGGTTGTTTGCCATAAATCTGTAGGAATATAGTACAGATAGTCCTCGATTTGCAATCACAGTTGAACCCAAACTTTCTGTGGTTAAGTCATCTTTGCTGCATCCAATGATCTTTCTTGCCATAGTTGTTAAATAAACTGATTTCCCCATTGACTTTGCTTATCAGGAGGTCACAAAAGGTGATCTCTTGCCCCAGGGACACTGCGACCGTCATTTAAATAGGTTGAAATTACAGTAGTGACATTAGTTCACTTTGTACCTAATGATTTCCGGCAAACGTAGAATGTATAGAAATACAGGCATACCTTGTTTTGTTGCACTTTGTTTTATTGGACTCACTGATAATGCATTTTTTAAGACCCTCCACTAGCCAAAACACTACAACTACTGAAGCCCAAGTCTAGTTTTTACCAATAAAGTATTTTTAATTAAGCCATGTACCTTATTTTAGGCATAATGATATTGCACACTTAATAGACTATAGAATAATATAACTTTTATGTGCTCTGGGAACCCCAAAACTCGCTTTATTGCAATATTTTGGAACCAAGCCCATGATATCTCTGGGTACAAAACAAGTTCGCTCCATACCTTCCAATGAAACATAACTTCTTCCCATTAATGCCGAGGGGTTTTCCCCTCCCGCTGTTTCTTTTCCTATCAGCTCCTCTCAGTACTAATTCCCATTTTCTCTTACACGGAAAGGTGCAAGTTATAAGTGTCTTAATATTCTTGAGATAACGGTGTTCTCAGGAGGGCTTTGTCTCTTGTCTTCTTGCCCTTTGTCGAACAAGAGACAGTGGATGGAAACTCAGCAAGGAGGGAACTTATCTAGAATTAAGGACGCATTTCCTCATAGAAAAATGATTCAGTGGAACAGCTTCCCTCCAGAACCTGTGGGTGCTCCAATACTGGAGGTTTTCAAGAAGAGATTGGACAGCCATTTGTCTGAAATAGTTATAGGGTCTCCTGCTTGAGCAGGAGGTTGGACTAGAAGACCTCCAAGGTCCCTTCCAATGTTGTTGTTTGGTTATTCTGTATCTCCTATGCCTCTTCTGCTGTTGCTTTCTCAGGAAAGGTGCTTGTGTTTCTGGACAGCCATTGTGAAGTGAACGAGATGTGGCTGCAGCCGTTGCTGACGCCCATCCAGGAATCCCGCAGGACAGTTGTTTGTCCTGTGATTGATATCATCAGTGCAGACACGCTGACGTACAGCTCCTCTCCTGTTGTCCGAGGAGGGTTCAACTGGGGCCTTCACTTTAAATGGGATCTCGTTCCTTTGTCAGAGTTGGAAGGACCCGAACCAGCCATTGCCCCCATCAGGTGAGACATCCCAGTTTCAAATACCATCCTCTAATGCTAACCTGTGGGCTGTGGCCCGCTACCAGGCCATGGCTTCTTGGCTACCAGCCCAGGTGAGTGGCTGGCCAGTGCCTATGTGCATGAGCAGGCACGCACCCCCACCTCCACTCACAATGGCCCCGTTCGCTTGTGCGCATGCGTACATAAAGAATAGAATGGAATGGAATGGAAAGGAACGGAATAGAACAGAATAGAATTCTTTATTGGCCAAGTGTAATTGGACACACCAGGAATTTGTCTTGGTGTAAATACTCTCAGTATACATAAAGGAAAAGATACATATGTCAAGAGTCATATGTCAAGATATATGTGGGTGTGTGTATGGTATTCAGCTTTGTTCGGGTATTTTCCCACGTCATTAAA